AATAAACTTAATTTTGTTAAATATGTTTCTTTTTCCATATCATTTAACGCCAGTTTCCCTTAGAAAGTCCTCCACGAAGGCATCCCTGCCCTTAGGCAGATAGCCCTAGTGTGCTTTGCCGTAATTAAGTACACCAACATATCCTTTAACACGAAATTCTTCAAAATATTTCAAACCCTTCAGTTTCGTGTTAAACGACTTTCAGTGTAAATGCTTGGAATACTGTAATTCTGTTATAATATTCTAAATAATTTCCTCGGCTATTGTATAATGTAAATCTGTGTTACTGGCCTGCATTCCAAATTTTATATTTTCATAATAAAATGCAATATTTGATTTATTGTACCTTTTTTTTTTTTTTTTTTTTTTTTTTTTCACTGGGACTGATTCTCCATATTAATTTTTTTTTTTCATCAAGACAATCATTAATCGTAATCAAGAGAAAGTTAAAAGGCCTATGAAATACAAAATACATTCATAGGTTTGTTTTTAAATAAATGGAAAATGATTTTTAACAATTAAAGGAATTCAATAGAAATTCAAAATGAATCCCAAGAAACACATTTTGCTCATTCTTCTTCAAGATAAAAAAAAAAAAGAAAAAAATATTCTGAAACTAAAAACTTTGCAGAATAATTTATTTCTGAGGAAGATAATTTTGCTGACAATTAATACATTTATCTTTTACATTGGAAATTACAGAGAAGTAAAAGAAAAATATCATCTTTATATTTTCCGTTGAATATGTAGGCTAGCCTAATCTGATAGTTTTAGAGTAATTTGAGATACTCTGCGATGCTTACTACTATTTGCCGATATCGCATAATGAGTCCATAAAAATCAACGATTATGTTTGCTTTATTGGATAATAGTAATATTTAAATGACACTAAAAAAACACACAATTTAACTGAATAATAATTATTAAAAATTAAGAAAACTTGGTAATAAAAATGAAATCTAATTATTTGTTCTTGATTTTGCACTATGCTTTTTCACTGATGACTAATTAACTGTGCTGTTACGAATTTTGTATTTAGATAGATAATTTTAGTGGAATTATAATTAAAATTGTTCCATTTCCCCGTTCAATGCAGCGCGAGACAAATTAAGAAAAAGCTATGCTGGAAAAGTAAAAATGGAGGAACACGTGCGTTTAACATTGAATAAATGGGTATCTCGGTAATTTGTACTGAAACTGAATAGATGTAACTGACCACTATGTTAACTGTAAACGTAATTCTATCCTCATATTGCTTTCCAGTAATTTGCAGAAGCAGAATGAACAAGAAATATCTTGCAACCGTTTGAAATCTATAAATTTCCAAAGAAAGAGAGCGTATTTTCCTTAGTTATTTTCTTCCTGTCATGTTTTTGGCCTTTTATTTTTTTATTTAATTTTTTTCCTCCTTATGACTGTTAATGTTTATAGAAATGCGTTTATACGTTCAGATTTTCATTACTTAACTCTTTGAAAACCGAAATTTTCGTTAACCTGTATGCATAAAAATACCGAACCGCCCGAAAATGTTTTCGAGAGTCACGGTAATTTTCTTCCCTCCCCATCCATTAACGCACAAAGAAAAGTGAAGATTTCAAATGACATCCTTTCTACTTTCTAACACATAAAGATAAGAAACCACAAATAAATCTTTTTTAGGACAATCTGTGTGCAATAAACCGATACAATGAATTTGGGGAAACTGCACCTGCTACTACATACCTTAGGGGATGGAAGCAAACAACATCAGAATTTCGGCCGTTTCGGGCGGTTCTGGTCGTTCGAATGAAAGGCCGTCTGGGGCGTTATGGTCTTCAAAGAGTTAATAGAGGCGGAATACTGCTAGTTGTTATAGTAGTTAATCGCGGCATATTAAAGTCATGTCATGTCGTTTTAGTTAGTTGCTTAGTTAGTTAGTTGCTGTTGTTGGCTGTAGTTTAGTTCCGCGTGAACTGAGATATCAGAGTTGGCTTTCTGTTTAGCTGCGCTTTGTATTCGCTGCGTTTAACGTTTTTAATGAACTAATGCTGATACTCAAAGAACTTATTCTCATGAAGCATTTTAGTCAATTCAATTTGGAGTAAATCAATTACTGTAGAGAAATCCTGTAAAACTCGAGTAACCGTCCCCGACACTTTCATCGTTACGCATTTGAGTACTATATTATTTGTATAAATTAAACATTGGAAATTGTCATTATGAAATCGAATTCAAAGTAAAGTTGAAATAAACATAGAGGATTATAAAAAAGATAAATAATGCAAACTTTGTAAAAACAAATCAAAGAAAATATAAAAATAATATAAAAATAATAGTAATATAAATAAGATCAGTGAATGTACATGAAGATATAAAGGCCAGAAAGGTATTAAGTAATTACATTCTTTCTAGTGGGGGAGTTGGCAAAGTGTTCTCTTCGTGTCTGACTCAGAATTCTAGGGTGTCCGAAAATTTTTAGCGGCAGTAGGGGCTTTGAATAATATCAGTCGGTAAGACTTGGGTGAAGTAATTTATGGTAGTGGGTGGGACTTGGAATTCTTGAGCGATGTATTTTGTGGAGTTCTTATCTGAGAGAGACCGTCTGTTAAGATTTTTTGAAAATACTAGTGAATGGAAATTAATTAATTTCTGGCTAATTGTCGTGTCGCAATGATTAAGAATTTAAGAAAGGAAAAAGGCATTTTCGCTGTCCAAGAGCTAATGGACAGTCTAAAGGCAGGAAATAGGCCCATTTTTTTAGTAACAGTATAGTAAACAGTATATGTCTGAAGACAATTAGCTTTTTACAATATATACAATTGAGTAATTACACTATATACAAATCTTTCAACTGACAGTCATCCAACTTACAAATTATATATATATATATGTATACAATATATATATATTTCTTTTGATATATTTTGATATATTTATTTTAATTAGAATAAATTATATTAATCTATTATAATATATTGCAAACCAGTACGCATACAACAGTACATTATTTCACAGCCGCACCGGTCCTGTAAACAATGAGTCAAATTTACTGAAGTAATCATGCAGACCATGTAAACATTTAACCAGCTATTTGTTTAATCTCAACCAGCATCTTACCTATTACAGAAAACTCCAGGTAATAACTACATATTTTATTTGCAAAGTGAAGATAACACAACGTGATTTCCTTAAAAGTACAACAACATCGAACATATATTTACAATAATAAGAATTTAAGTTTAAAATTACAATTTACAGCTTAAGATTCCCAGACATAAAATTACGAAGATTAATTTAATATCGCATGTAAAGAAGAAATTCGGAATTCCTGAACTGTATACTCTCACGCTTATGTTTAAAACTTCACTGTAACAAATATGCAAAGCACCTAAGTGCTATTAGTTCAAATTTCTATAACGCAACCTTGGCTGGCATTGTGCCAAACCACGTAAAGTTTTTCAAAATTGGAGTTAACTACTATCTGTCTACGAAACGAAGAGAACCCGCCACAGTGTCTGGCAGGTGGGTAGCTATAACAACACGGCTAGTATATATCAAATAGTGGCGAACCAAGAGTTGCTTTATTGTTATTTTGTTACTGGCGACTGTTTGCTGAGGGGAAATAGTTTATGATTCTTCTTCAAGACACCCCTACGGAAAATGGGTCAAGACTCTCTTCTACGGCAACAGATAGCTTCAGACTAACTGGCGAGAGCTTTTCTTATGATATACAAACTGTACGTGCTGCAGGGATGCGGGTTAGATTGGAGTTCGCTTGTTGCCTAAAAGTGCCCATATAATCGGGTGATCCTGTCATCAGGGGCCCCGATTATATATGCATTTAGGGCGCTTTTTTTTACATATTTGCAGAAAAAAATGCTAGAGTACTTTTTTGATTTCAGCCTGGAAACAAAGAATGTTGAATTTTTTTCATAATTTGACAATTTTATTAGAACAGTGAATGTTTCGTCACTTAGTTTTAAGAATAAAATCATTAAAAAATCATATAACTAATTTTAGTGGAAGTATTCTTTTCGCAGTTTTAAAAAATGATTAATAGGTTTCTATCCTATTTCGAACGGGATGTGCCCAAATGGAGCATGTAACACTTACCAATATTGTAACTTGTTACAAAAGAATTGTTTGTCCTTTTTCTTAAAATAAATTTCGTTTCCCTTTCTCATATGTATAATAATATCTATACATATTATACATATGTATAGATATTATTATACATATGGGATGTATAGATATATTATACATATGTATAATATGTATATAGATTTGAGCGCAAAAATCGAAAATAAATATAATATTATAATATATAGACATAATTATTTATTACATTATAATAATCATAATTAAAATAGCTATCATTACTGTTTATTATCGTAATTATCATTAATAATTATTAAGAGTTTCTTTTTTTCGGTGGGCAATAAGTATTTATTTTTTTTGTTTAAAGTAAAAATTATATTGATAATTTTAATTTATAGTTTATTTTAACAATTATTTATTGGCGTGAAATTATTTAATAAATTCTAATATAGTTATTTTAATAGAAGTAATTACAATAATAATATAATAATGAAAATTCTGCAGTAAAATACAATAATTAAGTAATTATAATAATTGTTATGCAGTAAATATTATAGTTGTTTACTGCACTTTATCACAAAATAATATATATAGCGAAATTAAGTAAAAGTAAAATATCATCATTATATATGAATTACACCGCTTCTTGATAAAGTATGTAAATTATATCACTTCGTTCATAAAAGTTACATTTGGTTTTAACGGATAGGGATAGACAAAGTGGATTATGTTTAATTTACTTATGTTCAGTCTAAATATAATTCCTCACGAGATTAGAGGATGTTAAATAGAAACTTTATTTGATAAATGGATACCTTTTGTATGAGTTTGATTATTTTTATAAGTATTTTTTGGATGACTTCATTTGAAAGAGAAGTTCATTGAATAATTTACAACAGTATAAGCAAATTATAGTAACTTACTTATCTGACGTTCCGGTTCCTCCTTGGCATTCTAAAAAATGAAAGAAATGATTTAACAACATGTTCATTTTAAAATAAAATGACACAATAACTAACAAAATTTATAACATTTATAATATATTAACAACATTCTTAAGAAATTAATTTTTGCACTCGTAGCTTATGTACATTGCGGAAAAAATAATGGAACAGTTCTATAACTCCCATTTTACTGGGCCGATTGACGAAATTCAAATTACGTTTTTCATATCTCGAAAGCGCCCCTTAGGATATACATTAGATTTATATATAGCTTTGTTCTAATATAGGTATTTTGACACAAAAGACTTTTTCTGAAATAACATGCCACATTTTTCCATATTTCAATTCTACAACTCAAATTGCGCCTAAATATTAAATTTTGTAAAATTTCGTGCGAAATTTACGGAGAAATTCAAATATTTATCTTGGCGTATTTTCTCAGTTTGTGCCAAGAATAAATCACTTGGCGAACTTTTAATTCATGGCAACCTATTCTTCTTTCCCTTTTTACATTGTGCACGAGCGGAAAAAAAGTTACTTCGTTCCTACTTTCAAATAGTTTTAACCAAGGGCGTAAACCATATTAGATATTATTATCGCTTTCAACAACTATGTCAAATTTCAACAACTATGCCAATATATAAATTCATGTATGTCTTCGAAAATTTTGATTTAAATGCTATAATATTTTGCGGGTATGCTTAGGAATACATCTACAGGGTGCGGCAGGGAAACTTTCATATTTGAAAAGCGCGCCATCTAGCGGCATTTATTCTGAGAAGGGTGCGGTGGCGCTCATAGAAAAGAGCGATATCTAATGTTTTATGTCATGTAGGTTTAGTACCGATAATGCAGTGGACGAGAGAGGAGCGCGCGTTCGCCGTGGAGTCTTACTTTTCAAAGTACTGCATTTTCATCCATGTAAATTGACACTGGTGCAAAAACATAATCCGCGCAATTTTCTTTCACGAAAAAAATGCATGCAAATCCGTTCTTGACAATATGCCTCATGATGCCCTTGTGTTCTTTAGCAATGAGGCTCATTTTCATCTTTCCTGTTGCAGCATGCATTAAGCAAAACATGCGATAATGGAGTGGCATGAATCCCCAAGAAGTTCAATGAGCAGCCCCTCCATACAGAACATGTGACTGTTTGGTGTGTATTGTCCAGAATAGGCATCATTGGAGATCATTGGAGAACATTGTTCTGGACGCTTTATCTCTCTACGGGGCGATCGTCAGTGGCCAGCTCGTTCATCTGATTTAGCTCCGTGTGCTTCCTTTTTGTGGGGCTATATCTAAAATCTCTACCGTCCAAAAGTCCTGGCTCAACTGAAGAAAAATATTCAAGCTGCTATCGACAACATACCCGTTGATATTCTGGTAAAAGTGGAAAAAAGTTCAAAACTCGACTATCTCAATGCATGGACCAGAACGGAGGTCACTTTAATCATATTATTTTTAAAACTCGATAAAAAAAACTTTGTTTCTCTATAACTTAGGAAAAATTAAACTGAGATCGCTTATACTATCTGTGTTATTCATTTTTAAAATAAGGTAGTTTCCCTGCCCCACCCTGTACTTTAAGATGATGGTCAAAATGTTGTAAGTTATAATTCAAACTCTGTTTCGAAAAATTTATAAAAAATTATTTTAAAACACAATTTTTGAAAATAAATCATAAAATGGGTGAATTTTATTTGGAAAGAACCTAAATTTCAATTTGTAAAGAAGGACACAAATACGTTATTAAGAAAATGATGTTACTAAATACATACCAAATTTAATTAACACTGACGTGCTCAAATTTTGAGAGCTAATTTTTTAAAAACTGCTCGTGCGTTTTTGCTACTCCTGCGATGCAAAACTACTCGTGCGACACAAAATTTCAGTTTACAAAATTTTAGCGTAACTTGAGTCGTAGAATCGAAATATAGAAAAAAAACTGACATGTCATTTCAGAAGAAGACCAATTTTATGTCAAAATACCTATATTAGAACAATGCTATATATAAATCTAATACTTACCCTAAGTCGCACTTTCGATACATAAAAAACGCAATTTGAATTTCATCAATTCGCCCAGTAGAATAGGAGACCCTCTTTTCTACTCCCGGTGTACATGAACAACAATAGCTTATTCGTGCACAAAAATGTAAATTATATAATTTTTAAATAGTAAAGAAAATGCCATATTTTATAGAAATATCGTCTGAAAACTATTTCGAACCATTTAAATACCAATATCTGTTAGAAAAATATTTCAGAAAACATTTGTATCCTTTGTTTGATTTAAATAATGATTTTTGAGTAAAATTTCTAATTCACTATAATTGAAAATTTAATTCTTAAAAAAATAATTATTGAATCTTATACGAATAGAAATTTTTAGTATAACAGGCAGATTATTTATTGTAATAAAATCATGTTACAATATAAGGATTTTGCATTATTAGTAAAAGATTACAAAAATCATAATAAAATTATTTTGAATTAAGAACATCAATTGTTGGGGAAAATAACAAGAATTGTATTATTGTTTAATTAAAACTGACAATGTTTGCAATGAATTAAATATAACATTTGAATTAAGCTATTTGTAAACAAATATGATTGCCATGAAAGGGAAAAATAAAATTTTTGGATGAAATAATACTCTTATTGCGTGGAATAATAAAACATTTTCCCTAGTAAATAAAATGTATATTTATTTTGAGTTTACAAAAGGAATATTAAATATTCGAAATGAAATGAAACATTTTAATAGTTTTCAACTGAACAAAATACAGCCTGAATAATAGAATTCTGCAGAATGAAACATGACCATAATGTAAAAATGTACAATTATTCTGTTTCCATTATTAACGGGATATTCATATAATAGAAATTAAAATTAAAATGAGTTTATCTTAAAATATCTTGCTGACTCTAACGAATTATTCATAGGTTCAGTTTTAAATTAATTAAAAATACTTACGTTTATTACTTCGAGAGGAATTTGAACAAAAGGCGACTGACCTGCATGTTTTGAAGTATTTAACCATTCAGGTTTGTTATGATTTTACAAATTCAAAATTCCAGATACTTAATCATAAAATTACTTTTAAAGTACTTTAAAATAAATTTTATGCAAAAAGTAAATATAAAAATAAAAGTAAAGAATTTGAAAGGTTTCAGATTTTATATTAAGCACGAATGGGCGTTTTTTTCCATTTAGAGATACATGCACGTTTCGAAAGCATTTAGGCCAACGCCACACTGGGAGAAAAATATTTAAAAGCAGCGTGTCTTTAGAATTTACAATTGAGAGTCTCGCGGGCTGGAAAAAATATGTTTTATTCTTTACAGTGTTGCAACTGCTCCTTTTAAAATTGTTAAAATTTTAATCAAAAATTCGCTGAAGTATTACAAAATAATAAATAGACAAGCAATAAAATTTGAAACCCTAAATTTGGGCTTCTAGGTGTTCATTCTGCTGTGAAGGTTAGGTTAGGTTATTTAATTACGGCAAAGCCTCGAGGGCTATCTGTCTAAGGGGAGGGATGCCTTCGTGGAGGACTTTCTAAGGGAAACTGGCTCGTATACACGTTACATATGGGGGAAACCACGAAAACACCCATGCAGCCTCCCGTTCGCGGGATTCGAACCTCGGACCGAACTACCAGTGTTCAGCGACTTTACCGCTCGGCCGCTGGTTGGCTTGCTGTGAAGGACAGTGTTATTCAAAATTTGACAATTCCAGGTACGGCTGTTATTTCAAAATGCCAGAAAAAATCCTACCTTTATGTAGGTCCTTCATTATTTAATTTCTTTAATTTCACACTTTTGAAAAAAAAAATCGAAGCACCAAGAAGGACTTTTGCGATTGTGACGAAATTTGGTATGCAAAAACACCTTGAGAGAACATGCAAATGATCAAAGTTTCAAGGCCAAATGAACAGGAATTGCGATCCATGGCGCGCATTTCTAGTGCGTAATTTGCAAAGTATAAAATCCAGTAACAGAGCCGGAAAATTTATGTTTTTTTGTTGTTGCCATTGTAGTTCCGTAAAGAAGCAACTAAAGATGCCATTATGATGATATCGAAAACATTACAGCTAAACGACTTGGTCGACTTGGTCCGAAACGTGGACGCATTAGTAAGGTTAGCGTGAAGTTTGGATGGTCATACCGAGCCATAGGCCGGCCAACTGCCAGCGTAGAGACACTGCTGTGGAAAGATGTAGGCAGAAATAGTTGCTACAAGGAAACTGCAGACGAAATGAAGGCTCTGGAAGGCCAAGGATCACTAATGCGAGCAAGACAGGATGATAGTTCGCCAGTCCCGAACCGCCTCAACGGTATCATTATCGAATATTCAACACACTACAACCACGTCCATACCCCCCGTGATACCGTCTGGCGTGGTGTCGCAGCCGATCATCATGGCTGCCATCAGGCTGACATCGTATAGTGTTCAGCGATGAATCCCGCTTCACTCTTGAAGCAGATGATCACCGTTTTCGTGTCTGGAGAGGACGAGGCCAGTTGTCCCAATCAGCCTGTTCAGTACCTATTCAGTTTCATCAAAAAGAACCACTTGCTTCATGGTGCTTCGATTTTTTTTGCAAAAGAGTGTATAATGCAGGGCGATAACTTTTAATGGCAAAAATTTGAAAAGTGTTACAGCCGTTTATAAGAATTCGACGCAAATTGCAGTTTCGAGACTAATAGCGTTTTCTAGCTGATATGCATTTGGATAAAATATACTTTTCTTTAGTCTGAAAATAGTTATATTTGGGTGAAACTGTTACCATGGACTCGAGAGAAGTAGATTTATACATCAGAGACAAAATATCTTTTTTGCTGTACTAGTCTGAACGAATTTAATTGAATAGAATTATGTTTGTAATGGCAAATTATAACGAAAATGATCAAATATCAAGACTTAAAATATATGTGCATCTTTTTATTTGTTACGTTAAGTATGTTCTTTTCTCGTCTGGCATACTTTCCGTCTGGCATAATTTT